TATAATGTTACGAAATATTTTATTCTACAAATTTACTACAATAACCCCGTAAGCATTATAATTGTAATATTTTACGTATAACATTTTAGGTATTATGATTTTTCACAAATAACTAGGTTTTGAATAAATGAGTATTCATATTAATAACACAGTTACATTATGCAAAAAAATAGCTTTCATTTAATACATCAGTGACTCCAATAGACCCACTCGTTGAAAAGATATTCGTTAAAATCAGTAAATCTTTTTTCCTGTAAAATTTTCATTTTTCGGTTACAGAGTAATGCGCCTACCACTCGTACATGCTTGACTATAGTTTTGCTTGCGCATGCTTCTCGTATGAAAAGACTGAACACGGACGTGTCTACCACACGGCACAGTTAAGTACGTGCAAGCCACATTCTTGTCGACATCGTCGGCGTAGAAACAATGTTTCCCAATGAAGAACTATTTTTTCTGCTATTATTTTTCAAGTATTTGCTAGTGAAAAAAAAGAAAATGCATAAGTCGAAGCGTAAACGATCAAAGTGGATAAAAAAATGGCTGTTGAATAGAAAAATTCATTCACATATGAATCTACTCAAGGATTTAAGAGATGATCCAAACGATTGGCGGAATTATTTACGGATGGACGAAAATGCCTATAGTGAGTTGTTACGTTTGGTTACGCCTCTCATTCAACGACAAAACACGGTTATGCGTGAGAGTATATCCCCTCACGAAAGATTAACCGCTACTTTAAGGTTTCTGGCAACTGGGAGATCGTATCAAGATTTGAGGTTTTCTGCGGCAATTTCGGAACAAGCATTATCTAAAATAATTCCAGATACATGCAGAGCCATTTTTATGGTATTGCGAAATGAATACATGAAGGTGAGTTTTAAAATGTTTATTTAAAAAATGTTATTGTTAATAACCACACAAGTATTTATGGCATATAACTCAAAAAGTACTGAGATGCTGCAGATGACTGTAGGTTCATAGTGTCTGGTTCAGAGTTTACTGAATAATTTCTAGCAGCAGTGTCAGGTGCTCGCTGTAGGTTCATAGTGTCTAGTCGAGGGTTTAATACATTATTTCTAACAGAAGTGTCAGCTACTGCTGACTGTAGGTTTATACCGCTTGATCCAGGGTTGACAATATAACAATGGCGATTTAAATTTTCCAGTTCTCCTTCAAATATTGCTTCATTAATAAGTTTTTCAGTATATATACGCTGCTCATTTGTCATATTTCTCAATTTAAATGCAATATTTTTTCCAAAAATATCATGTCTGTCAGGCTGTGATTGTGAGAATTTATTAGTGATACAATTACCGACTTCATTTATTATTTTATTAAGGTTATTGTCATCCCTTGTCCTTTTTTGTACTCTTCGAGGTGGTAAAGATTGGGGAACAGGAGAATTTGGTGCAAGGTATGAAGATGGATGGTCTAACGTGCGTATAGAAGCCTGAGATTGCGGACGAGGAAGAGGTGAATCCAACGTTGCATCTGTATTTGTTTCATTCTGAAAAAAAATTGTTTCAGATACCAAGCTCACAAGAAGAATGGAAACAAATAGCACATGAATTCGAGCAAATATGGAATTTTCCTCATTGTTTGGGAGCAGTTGATGGAAAACATGTACGAATTATACCACCGCCAGGAAGTGATGGAGGTGTTATTGAGCAGACGAAATTTTACGATAAATTGAGAAATAACTCGTTGCATATTCCGGAACCAGAACGTTTAAATCATTCTAACAAAATTCTAAATTAAGTTTTTATTGGTGACGAAGCCTTTGCACTAACTCCCAACTTTTTAAAACCATTCAACCAAAGGGAATTAACAAATGAGCGAAATATTTATTTATTTATTTAAGGACAGCTTACAAGACAATACACTGATGGTAGCATTATTACAATAATAAAAAAGCATGCAAATAAGTGTTGCCTCAATTACAAGCTGCCACGGCATGTACAGTTACACAGGAGGAAATATGTGAGAGATGTTTAATAAGTTTATGCTTAGTTATTCTATCATTATGATAACAATTACTTATCTGTTATAGCAGCAATCATGTTGGATTTAAACAAGTTAAATTTGGAAAAAATATCTAATACGTTATTTCTTTTCGCAATTACATTATATTGATTCTGGCTTCTATTTAATGCCGAATAGTGTCCTAGATTGCCCTTAAAAGATTTAGGAGAAAACAATTTAAAACGCGAGGGTCTAACATGCTTACGTGGAATATTAAAATTAATTTGTTGTAAAAGAGCTGAATAGTCCAATACACCGTTAACCATTTTATATAGAAATAACTGATCCAATAATAGTCTTCGGTCTTGTAGACTAGATACATTAAAATATGATAATCGTTCTTTATAGGAAGGTAACTCTTTAGCCATATTATGTTGAAAAGACAAATGCCATAAAAATCTTTTTTGTACCGATTCTATTCTTTTTATATGTACTTCGTAACGAGGAGACCACACCACACTACCATATTCCAAGGATGATCTAATTAATGCGTTAAATATAAGAATCTTGCTATTAGGAAGCCTAAAGTCTTTTGTATTTCTTATGACGAAACCAAGTATTTTAAAACATTTTTTGACAAGCTCATCTATGTGAGTATTAAAGTTAAGTTTTTTATCAAAATAGATGCCCAGATCGCGAATCACAGTAACTTCCTGCAATTCTTGGTTTTTAACTTTATATTTGTATGGGTTGTATGTTTTTTTGCGAGTAAATCGAATATATTTACATTTGTTTATGTTCAATGTCATGTGATTACGATCACTCCAATCCACAAGTCTATTTAAGTCTTCCTGTAAACACAAGCAGTCTGATGGGTCCCCTATGCGTTTAACTATTTTCAAATCGTCTGCGTACAGATGAAACGTACTGTGTTTGAAGCATTGTGAGACGTCATTAATAAATAAGTTGAAAAACAACGGCCCAAGGTGGGAACCTTGGGGGACACCCGAGAAAATGTCATACGAGTTAGAGGACTGACCATTAATGACAACTTTGAACTTTCTGCCCACGAGGTACGAAGTACACCATTTTAGGAAGCTACCATGAAAGCCAAACTGAGATGACAACTTAAAAATGAGGAGTTTATGACTAACCCTTTCGAAAGCTCTGCTGAAGTCAGTATATATGACGTCAGCAGAGTCACGCGAATCAACAGCCATAACTAAATCAGACACAAATTTAACAAGATTGGTAGTAGTGGAACGAGAGCTAATAAAGCCGTGTTGTTGCGGCATAAACAGCTGTTTAATATGCCTATATATCACTGGATATAATAAAGACTCAAAAACTTTAGCAAACGATGCAAGGATCGAAATCGGTCTGTAATTTCTAATGTCTGACTTGGAACCCTCTTTAAATATAGGTACTACCAAAGCCTCCTTCCAGACCGCAGGAAAACGGCCTGTAATGAGACTTTTGTTGTATATCATTGAAAGAGGTAACGCTAATGAATCGGCACATTTTGATATAAAAATAGATGTAATCCCGTCAGAACCCGCGCTTTTGGCACAATCCAGTCTTTTTAAAGATCGTTTAACCTCATCCACTGATAAAAATATGTCACTCAATGTTGTGATGGCGTAGGGACAGGCAAAAGATAGCTGAGATTGTTCATCATTACCAGCTTTGTAGTGATCGAAAGCGGAAGAGAAGCAATCTGCGAAAAGGTTACACACTTCAGTACTACTGGTCCCTGTCTTATTTTTATAAAACATTTCAGAAGAGTAAGTACTCTTACCAGCCTTCTTTTGCTTGATAAAAGACCAAAAAACTTTTGGATTAGTTTTGATTGAGGTTTCTACTAAAAGGACATATGATTTATAACACAGCTTACTTTAATGAATAGATCTGTTTCTTAGCGTCTGATATGCAATTTTATCCAGGGGATTGTTATATTTTTTAAAAAGTATCTATATTTATTTTTTTCTTTTAAAATACATTTTAAATCTCTACTAAACCATAAAGGGTATTTATTATGGTGTATAACAATCTTAGGTACTTGCGCTGTAATAACTTCATGCAAAACCTTACAAAATACATCAATCATTTCATCCACATTTTTTGAATCCAAAAATTTGTTGCTCCATTCTGTTTTATTCAAAATTTCAACTATACTATCATAATCGGCCTTAAAAAAGTTGTGTTTAGAAATTGATTCACGGGGCAAATTCGACGATAATATGTCACAAGAAAGTATGAATTGCAATGGCGGATGATGTAAATCTATTTTACTAAGAGGGGTCTCACAACTTTTCAAACCAGTTAACGGAACATTACAAAGAACCAGATCTAAAATTTTGTCGTAGTGATTACTTATACAATTATATTGCTTTAAGTTACAATAGGATATGAAGTCCAAGAGTAAATCGTTTAATTTGCTGTTACAGTTTGAGTAGCCAGTCAAGTATAATGAATCCGATGATTTCCATGTTATACTTCCCAAATTAAAGTCACCCACAATAAGCCAGGGTTCACTATTATCGATTAGCTTACATGTATTATTTATAAAAGTACATAAAATATGTTCTTGAATAGGTGAGGGTAGGTATACCCCGCACATCCTCAACTTTAATGGTTTATTATTTAACTTTATATCAATACTCACCCAAATGTCTTCACATTTACTATCATAATTATTTAATTGACATGAGTTAAACTTTTTAGAAACGGCTATCAATACCCCGCCCCCAGATTTTTTACTATGGAAATAACTATTTTCCCTGTCTCGTCTGTACACAGAAAAACCGCTATTAAATAGTTCGGAATCAAAAATATCGTTACTCAACCATGTTTCACTCAATATTATAACATCATAATCTAGTAAAGCTGAATTAATATATATATCTAACGTTTTTGTACGTAAACCTCTAGCGTTTTGGTAATAAATTTTAAGTGTAGTCATTTTTGTGAGAAAAACTTAAAGACCCATTATTTAGTAAAAAAGAAAAACACAAAGTTCAAACTAACAAACCAAATCAAGTTATTTTCTTTAAAACATCCAAATCGCGTACAAAAATAGGTTCCGAGCTTTCCGACTTTCTTATGTAAATACGACCGCCGCGTACCCATAAAAATTTGTATTTTAGTTCTTTGGTACGAACTCTGGCTGCGGCGTGTAAGTTCTTGTTTTCTGAAGTGAGATTTTCAACAACAAAGACGGCACTTTTCTTATCGTCGATACCCAGGGTGCTTGTATTAAGTTTATTATGGGGATTAGACTTATTGTACTTTAATACGGCTGCCAAAAGTGAATCCCGTGCCCGCGGTGAACACATTCTCAATAATATAGAACGTGGTCTGGAACTGTTGGAGTTCATTTTAGCAATTCTTGAACAGTACAGGATGTCCGATTCACTAATTGGATGGTGAACTACTTGGCCAACTAGCTTAATCAAACTAATTATATTTTCCGAACGATGTTCAGGTACACATTGTATTTCAAGGTTACTGGAACGACTCAGCTGGTCCATTTGTTTTATGCTTTAATTTAGAGAATTCACTTCACTACGCAGCAGCTCATTTTTTTTCTTTAAAACTTTTAATTCTTCATTATTCGCATGAACGTTTGATTTGAATAACTCGAACTGATTATTCATAAATTCAATGCTACCTTTGATTTCGGAGAATTTTTCGTTTAGATTTTCTAGTTGCGTATTTAAGGACTTATTGAATTCAGCCAGACAGACCTGGAAAGCTTTTTTCATTTCATTACTTATCATTTCTTTGATATCGGAGCGGGATACACATTCAGAACAGAAGGAAACCGACGCAGTTTCTTGCTTATTTTGCGGTTTACGACGCGTCGCCGTAAACGTTATATCAGCGAGGCCTGTAGGTGTAGACGGTCTTATTAATGAGTTTGAGTTATCGCCCTTTGGTTGTTTATTGATACAGCTAGGACACAGCCAGCAAACCTTCAACTCGTTTGATATATCCTCAGACGCATAATAATTAAGGCACAAATGGTGATAAAAATCACTGCATCTCGAGCACTTAAAATAATCGTCGCCTTCAATCGTTGAACAGCATGCCGCACAGTTTTTATTCATTATGAAAAGTTTCCAGGTATACCTGCACTAACTGATACAATAACTGTTTATTGCTGTCGCACTGCACTTTGGCGCACTTGTTTGCGTAAGAACGAGATGCAACACTTGATGCTAGTCTAATGAATACGAAGATTAGCGAGCGTAACCGGACGAACACGACGATACAAATTAATTGTGCACTTGTAACTAGACGCTCAGATATTGCGATAAGGTTCAGATTTATTTCAATGTGAGTTTTTTAATCAGAAATATAAGAAGTAACTTCTATGCACACGACTGCCTCTCGCGCGGTGCGGAATGAATTTATAATTATCGATTATCTAGGGCAAGGCGAATTGTTGAGAACGCCTATGGCATATTAGCATCTAGGTTCAGAATCTTTCATACAAGTATTAATTTGTCTCCAGGAAACATAGACATCGTTGTCATGACATACTGTGTGTTGCATTATTTTTTAAGAAAAAAATACAGTACCACTTATACGCCAATTAATATATTGGACTTTGAAGATACAAATCAAGGTACTTTAACATTAGGTTTAAGAGCTGATTCGTCACATTTATTAGAATTACAAGGAGGACATTATAGAGACATTTCTAAAGATGCCAAAGCGACAAGAGAAGAATTTTCGAATTATTTTAATAATGAAGGCACTGTATCGTGGCAAAATGCAATGTGTAATATAAATACGATATCTTTTTTTTTTTTCATACGTATACATTGTAGATTTGTTATTAAATAAAAATAACTACCTACTCTTCCGAAATGTGTTTTTGTAATCTACAAGTACATCATTACAATCCCGGTTTTAATCCTTGACTCCCTGTCTAAAAACAAATTGGGATGTTGTATTACCTGTGTGAGGTCATCAAAATTTGACACTGACTCTCTGGGAGTCTCTTGGTCGGTTAAAAAATAGAGTAGGTGAAAATACTACAGCGTCGGTTCATAAATATCATCTGTGGCAGCTCCAGATTTTGTGGAAGCATCCACTTTTTTCATCTCTTTCCGATAGCAAGTTCTCAAAGAATTAATTTTTTTCTTGACTGTATCTTTCGTAGCCTCAGGTTCTACCTAAAAGGGTTATGAAGGGCGAATAAGGTATCAATAACAATTCTTTAAACTTAATGTAATTTGAATACATTATACATTGTTCAACTTTAATTGAAAACCAAACAGAAAATTGAAATTATACGTACCCACGTGTTGGTATTTTAAATAATAAAAGGCATTTAAACAGTATAGGTATGTATATTATGAAATTTAATATCTACCTATAAAAATATTCTCTTCTTACATACATACCTCTTTTAATGTAATTATCATTTGTTCGTATGCGTCATTTTTTTTTATTCCTGTCAGAATAATCCTTGGATGTGATCTTCCACAGTGCGGGCAGAGATTTGTATAATTTTATGAATTCAGTAGCGAATTGTCGATTGTATGTACGTAAATCCGACATTTTTACGACAGTGCGCGCACAGTTGCTTCACCCGACTGACTGAGCGGCTTGAACACTGAACGCCCAACCACACGCACAAACAAGTTTGTACAAGTATAGCTTGCGCATGCCAGAATTTCAAGCGAGTTTAAAAACCATCCAGCCAAGCTTTGGGGTTTGCGCATGCTACCTATTTACCAACTACACGCACAGTGTTCAGTGTACAAGCCGGCATGCGCAAGTAAAACGGTGATCAAGCATGCACGTGTGGTAGGCGCATAACGAGTTGTTGCTTGGGGGCATCGACATGTACTCACTATTATTATTATAATTTTTTTAATTTATTTAGGATAACAAACAATTGTACAATACATATTTCATAAATTTGTACAGTTAGAGATAAATAATAAATTGCACAACCAGCACCGTTATCCACAAAATAACTGTAAAACCTACGTAATTTACATTAAACAGAAAAGGATTCATAATTAAATACGGTTGCTTCTCGTAAACAGTACAGTAATTCCGGGAGTAAAGGCATTCAATACAATAATACTATTAATATGGATACCAGCGTCGACGAAATCACGACACCCAGAAAGTAGTAGAATTTTATTTAATTACCTTATTGAAATATAAATAGTTGATATAAGTGAACCAACAATATTAAATATATATTAATGACATCTCTTTTCCAGTAAATTTCTCAGATATCAATATTTTTGAGAGAAATAATCCTTGTGTCAGTATTAACGTCTATGGTTTAAAAAATAATAAGTTTGTTACAGGTCTGTTATATAAATCTGAAAATAACAGTGGTAAGTGCATTCATTTTCTGTTTAATTAAAAATCTAGAACGTCTCGTTAGAAGTCAAATTACTAAACATCGCGGTTCTTTGTTTTTTTTGCGATAGCTGTTTAATATTTTTTCCATCAACAGATAAGTTTAATAGTCATGTTTGCGGGGGAGTTGTGACTGTTTTACCTAAAAAAGGTTCTGTTTTTCAATTGAAAAATTTCAATCGCAAGCAAAATATATCAATACAAATTAGAAAATAATGAAGATCGTGTAAATGTACATTTAGTGAATGGCTTAACTATATTATAATGAAAGTGGTACATATGCGCTTTTTTAGATAGCTCTAAAATGGTAAAACCGACGTAGATAAGTTTGTCTAATACAATTTCATCAGCTTTCATTTATACAGCAACCAAATTTTCTGTAACTACAGAAACACTATGAAAATAAGGATTAGCGATTAGTTTACTTGCACTCAATCTTTTTTTAGTTTTATTATCAGTATCAGACCAATAGTTCACTAACCATCTCTTGTTAACCACGTGGTTGAGTTTTCGTAATTTGTTAGCAATACAGGAGGCCTATTTTCTAATCTCTGAAGGGTGTCTCAAGACGAAAGTCTTTAATTCGTGCGTGTTGCCAGTGATGACATACGGTACTGAGACGTGGCCGCTTACGATGGGCCTCATAAGGAAGCTCAAAGTCGCCCAGAGGGCAATGGAAAGGGCTATGCTCGGGGTTTCTTTGCGAGATCGAATCAGAAACGATGAGATCCGCAGAAGAACGAAAGTCACCGACATACCCCAAAGAATTGCGAACCTCAAGTGGCAGTGGGCAGGGCACATCGCTCGCAGGACTGACGGCCGTTGGGGCGGTAAGGTCCTGGAGTGGCGACCGCGTACCGGGAGACGCAGTGTTGGGAGGCCCCCCACAAGGTGGACCGACGATCTGGTAAAGGTCGCGGGAAGCCGCTGGATGCGGGAGGCGCAGGACCGATCGCTTTGGACATCTTTGGGGGAGGCCTATGCCCAGCAGTGGGCGTCTCTCGGCTGAAGTGATGATGATGATGATGACAGGAGGCCAATTCCACTAAATAAATTTTGTTTAAATCGAATCGAAAACGGAACGAAACTACAACTTTTAGTGGTTTTCCTATTTTACTCAGTGTCAAAACGGTGTGAAACGATACAATTCCAGTTCTATTTTAGTTTAGCTTACTATCGATCAATAGAAACTGTAAACGGTATTCTACTCGCTCAATCGAACTTAGTACTATATGGACGTAGTTATGCAAACCGAATCCAACATACCAATCTGTTAAAATCGAGTTACGTGCAGAGAAGCCTAAAAGTATTGCAATTAAACTCACATGTTTTTTAAATTCACAAAACTTCTTGATAAATAAATAAAAAAAAAATACAATCTACAATAAAATTTAACTAAAAACAAGAAACCCATTTTTCTCAAAACTGACTTCATGTGGCTGGTTTGCATAACTACGTCCATATACTTGAGTCGATTGTTGGCCCTTATTCCACAAAAATTTTGACACTTCTATGGATCGCAACGCTACTGAAAAGTTACTAAATCCGAACGTTTCATCTGTCAAAATTAACGATTTCTAAAATGTTGAAAAATTCTGATTTTTGGTGTTCGATAGCTAGCGTTTAATGATAGATGTGAAACAATTATTATTATTTAAAATCTTAAGAGGTGCAATTAGTTACCTACACCTAATTGCTGAATGAAATAAAATTTAAAATACCTCGATCTATCTTCAGAATTGATAATTAAAAACATTTGCCCTACAGAACTAACTTCGGCCAAAATATTTGTAGTGTCTATGAGTGAGTTATCAATAGACTGTGTAAAGAACATAATAAGTTGTGTAAATCCATTGAATGTTCGCTTTATCATTGATTAATTATAAAAAAAAGACCTTATATTAAGGTATCATAAAATTATAATCTAACTGTCTAGCACTTCAAGTATTTAAAATGTTCTATTTCACAAAGATACAAGGATACATTCAATGAGCACCCCAACGTCTTAAGTAAACATACAAAACCTGGGTATAAGACACCAGTTTCCTCTTCTGTCTCATGAGAATATATCAGTCCATGTGATATACATAAATTATGTACCATTACTAGAAAAAAAATGGAATCAAAAACAATGGAGCTAAATAAACAAGTGCGATAGTGTATGCATATGTTTAATAAACTTTTTATGCACACCATTTCATCTATTTCTTATAGATACTGTTATTTTATTTTATTTGTGATTGCTTATTGATATGTTAAAATGTTGACAAACTTTAAAATTAAAATAAATTATGTCTTGAAATTTGTATTAAAAAAAATTGTATTGTGATGTAGTGGGGCATCTGTTTTCCGATTAGGTGTATCGGCCGACCCTATTGGGTGGTGCACCGTCAGGTACAGGCGGCCTGCAACTCTCACCAGTGGCTCCAAGTAGCTGCAGTGCTCGCAGCGGCCACATCCCGGTAAACCGCGCTAGCGGGCTAAACCTGGTTGAGGGAGACCTAACTGCTCCGGCAGAAAGGTTTGATGCGGAGACTCCCGCATTAGTAGCACGAAGTCTGTCTCGGCGCAGAAGGCAACCCACGCTGATTAGTACCGGACCATAGCGGATGCGGCGAGACAGCAAGGCATTGTGGAAGGCCGAGGGCGACGATAGAGGTCAAAAGCAATCGTCGGCCGGACACTGCGTCCATCCCTTCTCCAGTCGTGGCGGTTCTCCGTTCCACTGGATCAAGAAGGGTAAGGACGAGAGAGTGCATCTGTGTTTGCGCGTACACTTACGCACTCAAATATATCCTGCGCACTAGACTCTGCTTCCGAATAAACGGACTCCGATCTTCGCAAAGACCTATGGCGATGGGAAGAGGTAGAGAGGCCTGGCGCGATGCACGCTGGGTTTTGTCTGATTCCCACATATGGGCGGTTCCGGGGGTGTGAGTTCTGCTTCGCCATGGTCGCTTTTGTACTGCAAACTTGGACGACAGTGCGAATTCGGCAGCACCCGGGATGACAAAGCAGCCCTATTCAGGGAGGCACTGCTTTCCTCTCTCAGCCGGGGAGGGGGCTAGAAAAGGTGCTCCAAAAAAAATGCTCGTCCTTTTCTGGAAGGTGGTAGTAGCCGCGGCTGCCATCGCATCACTTTAAATCGTGGTCGACGCAAATACATATAGTAACAAGAAAGCACCTACCATGACCTTTGGTGCGTGGAACATAAGAACGCTTATTGATCGAGACGGCAACGCCTGCCCTGAGCGTAAGACCGCTATAGTAGCTCGAGAACTCCAACGGTATGATGCGGATGTGGCTGCGCTCAGCGAAACACACCTTGCCGATGAAGGAGAGCTTTTGGAAGATGTTGGTGGTTACTCCTACTTCTGGAAAGGTACGGCAACCTCCGAACCTCGGCGTTCAGGCGTAGGATTTGCCGTCAAGAACAATTTAGTAAAGCGTCTTGAGGAGTACCCCGTACATATCTCGGACCGCGTTTCCACACTGCGCCTCCACCTAGATAAAGACAACTACCTGAATGTCATCAGTGTCTATTCTCCAATGCTAGACAAGTCTGATGACATTAAGGACCAATTCTACGAGGAAATAACCCAATGCCTTGATAGCATAAACGCAAAAGAGTAAGTGCTACTATTGGGCGATTTCAATGCCAGGATTGGACGGGACTATGAAGCATGGCCTGGAGTTTTGGGTAGACACGGAGTCGGCAACATGAACAGCAATGGTCAGTTGCTACTCGGTCTCTGTGCTCAATACGAGCTGGCAATATCGAACACGGTGTTCAGGCTTGCCGCTAAGCACAAAACTACGTGGATGCACCCAAGGTCCAAACACTGGCATCTGATTGATTACGCTATCGTACGGCAGAGAGACTTCAGTCAGGTGCAAATCACGCGGGTAATGCGTGGAGCGCACTGTTGGACTAACCACCGGCTTATTGTTACGAAGCTGCGACTCCGCCTCCAACGACCACGCAGATCCAAATTAAAAAAGCTTGCGTCTCTCAACGTGGAAAGGCTGAAAGATCACGAGGTTAGGAAGGAGTATGCTAAAGCCCTGTCCGACTACCGCCAGTTAACGATAGGGAAGATGTGAGTGAGGTGAAGGGTTTGTCTTCTCGTATTTTGGAAACCGCTTCGGTTACTTTAGGCGTAAGGAGCCGGCGTAATGAAGACTGGTTTGACGAGTACGACGAGGTTCTCAGGGCTGCATTCGATAAACATCGAGACCTCTTACGGCAACATAGACGACGAGGTGGAAGTAATAAGGTGGTCAAAGCGAGTGACCTTGAAATACGCAGGCTGTCTCGACAAATGAAAGAAAAGTGGTGGCGGGATAGAGCTTGTCGCATGCAGTGGCTCGCTGACATTAATCAGTTTAGGGAATTTTATTGTGAGGTGCGTAAACTGACCGGAACGTGCCGTCGAGCGAAGGTGCTTCTGCGATCAACAGATGGCGGAAGGCTGCTGACGAGCAAACAAGACGTACTGTCACGTTGGGCAGAACACTTTGATTCCCTGCTTAACGTAGATCGGACAGCTGATTTACAACACATCAGTTTAATGCCCCAACTTCCTCTAGTTAACGAGCTGGACGAGCCGCTGTCATGAGGCGAGGTTGTTGCTGCCATCAGACAGCAGAAAAATGAGCGGGCAGTTGGCAATGATCTTATACCGGGGGAGCTGCTAAAGTACGGCGGTAACGAGTTGCATGCTCATATTTGGCACCTGTTTGTTCGCATGTGGGAGGACGAGCGAGTCCCGGATGACTTTTAAGTGTCCCGCATCCAATCTCTCTACAAGAACAAGAGTGACCTTTCTGACTGCGACTTCTACCGTGGCATCTCGCTCCTGTCAGTACCTGGAAAGACTTTTGCCAGACCACTGCTAAACTGCTTAACTGCTTCCGTCCTGACCGAAGAACTGTGAAGCTATATTTTCTGTGCGCTAACTGCAGGAAAAAAGCAGAGAACAAGGTCGTCACCTATACCTCTGCTTTGTTGACCTAGAAAAGGCATTTGACAGTGTTCCTCGTGAAGCCTTGTGGTTAGTGCTGGGTAAGCTGGGATGCACGAAGAAGTTTGTGAGACTTCTAAGACTCCTGCACGATGACATGCAGTGCTGCGTCGCCGTAGACGGTGAACAGTCAGACTTCTTTTCCGTTACCTGTGGGATGTCGGTTTTTCACCAAGCCTGCTGCAAGTTCGGCTTGAAAATCAGTGTCAAAAAGACGGAAGTGATGTCTTTAGACTCTCATGGTCACGAGACGCTGGCCATACAGCTTGGTGAAGACGTGCTGAAGGTCGACAAGTTTCGCTACCTGGGGAGCACTCTAACATCCAAATGCTACCTTGACGCTGAGATCAACAGCAGGATCAGTGCTGCAGCTGCAGCATTTGGGAGGCTGTGTTCCAAGGTCTTCTGCTCGCACGACCTTAAGTTGGCTACCAAAATTTCTACGTACATGGCGATTGTGCTGCCAAATCTTCTGTACTCATCCGAGACATGGTGCGTGTATAGCCGCCACATTCGTACTCTAGACCGTTTCCACCTTAAATGCCTACGCAGGATACTGAATATCAAATGGTCTGAACGAGTGCGAAATACTGACGTTCTGCGACGAGCTCAAGTTGGTGGGACTGAGGCTTACTTAATGCGTCGTAAGCTTAGGTGGTGCGGTCACGTATCGCGTATGGCGGAGGAGAGAGTAGCAAAGCGCATCTTTTACTCTGAACTGGAGAAGGGCAAACGAAAGCATGGCGGCCAACTCCTGAGATTTAAGGATGTTCAGAAGCGGCATATGAAAAGATGCAATATCGAGCCCTCAGAGTGGGAGGGTCTGGCAGCAAAACGTCCCGAGTGGCGCAGGCTGGTACATAAGCGAGTCAGCGATTTCGAGGAGCAACGTAAAGTTGACCTCGACACTAAATGCGACATGCTAAAGTCTCGCCAGCCTGCTGTCATATAATACCATTATGAGCAAGGTATGCTCACGTGCCCTAAGTGCGCACGGAAGTTCACAGCTAAAATCGGCTACGTCAGCCACTTTCGGGCGCACGAGCGCCGTACCGACTAGGAGTCGAAGTAGTCGCCGTGACCGAAATCGGTCGCAGGGATTATATATTATTAAAAAATTACATTTTATAGATAAATTAATAGGTGTTCACTCCTGTCTCAATTTAAAATATTGAATTCATATATGGATTCTTAACATAAGTAAGGTCAACCTAGTTGAGGCATGTAATGTAAATAAATGTCCAAAATTTATATTTCTGCTAAACATTACATAATTACAGACAATCATTGTAGATAGGAACATTGTAATTATTATTTTTTTATAGGTTTTACGGGCACTTTGGCTTTAAGTGACCTTATCAATGATTATAAAAACATGATTTTTGAATATTTTGTATCTAAAAAAAGTAAACTATTATAGTATTTTGACAGGAAAACTTAATAGTGTGTATAAACAAGCATGTGTGGAATTCAAATAAAAATGTCACTGAAAAAGTCTGAAATAAATTACTTTGTAATATTTTTAAACTCACACGATTTGTATACATTATAATTATATGTAATCGGGTCTTGTTCGTGCCATTTTTTAAAACTATTAATTTACCTCGACGTTTCGGCTACGTTACAGCAGCCGTGGTCACGAGGAGACTGGAGAAATGGCGGGTGTCGTCTTCTGATTGTAGTTGAGGCGTGAGGGTAATGCGGTAATAATATTTTTAACAGATTTTCAGATGTACCCTCCACTTGATTTTATTGTATGTAAAGGTGGCGACACACTGCACTTACAGTATCCGAGAATCTTATTCGTGGTTGTTTGCGATCGCGACACTTACACATTTTTATAATCAGATTCCACGTTGGTGAGAGTTTATACACACTTTCCCGGTTGAAATTGTTGTGTTTTTTTATTTCAACCGCTTCACGAACAATCCTTGGATAGTAATGTCGTTCAGTGGAAAGGACATGAGGTGTATGTAACTCGATCCAGTGGTTTGATCCAGATGCTAATAAATGCTCTGCAATGGCGGACTTCTCCACTTGACGATTTTTGACCGCTGCTATGTGTTCTCTTACACGTTCGGCGATAGTCCGCTTCGTTTGTCCGATATATGAAATACCGCAGCTGCAGTCAATTTTATAAACGCCAGATTTTTGGTTAGGAATACTATCCTTTGGTGATCGCAATTGGTGTGACATTTTTGATAAAGGAGTAAAAATGGTGTCTATAGAAAAAATTTTCCTCAAAATGGAACCAATTTTGTCCGTTACCCCCTTAACATAGCCTCAAAATGCCTGTTGCCTGGGAACCTTAGGTAGTCATTCCTTACATCTTCGGATAGGGTGTAACCTCCTTGCGCTGTATCCATTTTTCCTTAGCACGTCCTGTACATAGGACAACTCATCTGCTAAGAAGTCAGTATTACATAATGCGTTAGCCCTGTTAATAAGAGTTGTCTCCACAGAACGTAGGTGTTGAGGATGATGATGAGATGAAGCGTGGAGGTACTTGTCTGTGTGTGTTGGTTTCCTGTAGACAGTGTGTTTCAGGAACCCATCAGCTTGCGCCATGACTTTAACGTCCAGAAAGGGTAAGGTTTTGTCACTCTCTAACTCATAGGTGAACTTGAGATTCGGATGGATATTATTGACGTGTGTAAGGAACTGCTCAATCTCCGGTTTGTCGTCCTTCAGGATACAGAACACGTCGTGACTGGTAATCTATCAATGAATCGACATGTTCCATTCATATATTGGCCAAAAGTGGCGCTACGGGGCTATTTTGGTGGTTGCACTATCTTTGGCTTGTATAGGTTCTCGAAGATGTCTTCGGTGAAAAGGTGTTTATAGTCCCTGATAACAGCAGGTATTCTCCATGTAACTCTCGCAGTTGGATCGTACGATACCGGCTTATATGTTATCATCTTGCAA